CAGCCCGCGTGGAGAAGGGTCGCTCGGGGGCGTGGCTGCCGCGCCGAGTGGCCGCTGTAAGCCGGGCTGTTCTGAATGACTGGCTCCCGGGAGGAGCAGCACACGGGACGAGCTGGTCGCTCACTTCTATTTTCGCAGCCCGGCCCAGCCCAGGAGTTGGCCCACGCCCCCTAATTGCTGAGAGAAGCTACGTCTGGGTGGTGGCGCCAGGTTGAGCCTCTTAACCATTCTTAGTTAATTTATCCGTAAGACGGGAGTCTCATGGAATTTACTGGCACGTATTAAGTATTAAGTATTTGCTAATTAATTAAGACGTAAAATTTTCGCAGCCCGGCCCAGCCCAGGAGTTGGCCCACGCCCCCTAATTGCTGAGAGAAGCTACCTCTGGGTGGTGGCGCCAGGTTGAGCCTCTTAACCGTTCTTAGTTAATTTAAACTCCACGAGGCAGCGATTTTTGTACACTGATGATTCTCCAGTGCCCGGAACAATGTTTGGCACATCATAAGCATTAAGTAAGTAATTGTAGAAAGAATTGCATAAATGTTCTCGGCCAGCCTACGTCTTAGGTAGATGATGATGACTAATATTTATTGAATACCTACCACGAGCCAGGGGCTGTTCTAAATGCTTTACATGTCTTACGTCAGTTAACCTTCGCATTTTGCAGCTGAGGTTTAGGGAGGTTAAGTAACTTGCTCAAGGCCTCACTAGCTACCAAGCGGAAGAGAGAGGATTAGAACTCAGTTCTGTCTGCTTCCAGTCAGCTCTTAACTACCATGTGCCGAGCACTTTATATATGATGCTTTGTTTAATCCTAGCAACACTGTGAGGTAAAGAAGACTAAACCAATAAAACAAATGAGAAATTCGAAGCCCAGGGACAAGGGATGAGCCTAAAGTCATAGCCAGTAAGTAGTGGGGTTGGGATTTGAGTTGGGACTGATTCCACCATTTAAATTGCTTCCCAAACTTAAGAGAGTTGGTAAAGCATCACACCTGTACAGATGCAGAGTGCAGATGAAGCCCCTATGCTGGACAGAAATACAAAACGAAAGCATTTGCCTGAAAGACCTAAAAGCACACAGCATTATGGTCAACAGGTCATCTCTCCCATTCTCAGGTTATAGATGGGGAAACTGAAGCTCATTCATGTGACTGGCTTGGGCCAGGACTAGAATGTAGGCTCCCTGAATGTCAGTTTAGTTCATGTCTCAAGAAAACACACTGACTCCCAGCAGGCTGATTATATCTCATGAAGGCACATTCAGGCTAGGTACGTCTCATGACATGACCTTGAGGACAGGAGCCATGTCTTCATCTCTGTAGACCTCAGTTCTTTTTCTTATTTCTTTGTGCAAAGTAAGTGATTACATACCTGTCGGTTGAGTTGGTGAGAGGGACGTACAGTCACAAATAACCAAAGGACTCTCATTCCTTCTATGTGTATAGAGCTAAGACATGACTATGCATAAATCTGAGTGGATAATCTCATCCAGAATGCATGGTTGGTGCAATAGATGTACCCTTTTCACAGATTAGGAAACTGGGCTTCAGAAAGAAAGGAAAAGTAGGTCAAGGGTTCGAATCCTTGTACAAGCCAGCCGTCAAAAAGAAAACGAAGGAAAAATAGCAACCAGGACTGACCCCCCAGTTTCTGACTCCTGGCTATAATGTAAGAGTGAGGACCTGGGCTGGCTGGTTAGCTCAGTTGGTTAGAGTGCAGCCTTATACCAAGGTCAGGGGTTCGGATCCCTGTACTGGCTAGCTACCAAAAAGTTGAAAGTGAAAGGCCCGAGCAGAGGGTCCGGGATCGAACTTGGCTTCACTCATTACCAATTGTGTAACCTTGGGCAGTTTTTTTTAACTTCTTAGTGCTTATGTATCAACTATAAAATGAGATAATAATGGTAATAATGGCATAGGGTTTTGTAAGAATTGAATAAATGAACACATGTAGAGTGCTCAGAAAAACCTGGCACATAAATAAATGCTCAATAAATGTATGCTGCTTTTACTAGATTGTATTTCTTCATAAAATGAGAATGAGGAGTGTTTTCCACCTCACCCTTCCTTCTTGCCTTCTTTTCCCATTAGTGGGTGGAATTTGTTTCAGGTGATATGTAGACTAACAGTTGGGATGTTATCTTTTGGTCTAATTTTCTGTGGTCCCCAAATACAGGCCACTTCATAGGTGTGGGCCATGGCTTTATGTCTTTGTTCCTTTGTGTTCAAAGGAGATGTGTGTTAGGTGAAGGCCTATTTAAGGGTCCCAAGGTACAACCTCTCTATTTCAGATCGCGCTAGCGAGCTTTTATGAGGACGGAGGGGATGAAGACATTGTGACCATTTCGCAGGCAACCCCCAGTTCAGTGTCCAGAGGCACAGCCCCCAGGTAAGGGCCAACTTCAATTATTGCTACGTGAGTGTTTCCAGCCGTGATGAGCTATTTTCTGACTTGACAGAGGGCTCA